CTGAAAAGACCTGTTGCGTGCTCGAGCGGGCACGTGGTCGTCCGTGAACGAAGCCGCCGTTCGTGAAAAATGTCGACGAGCGACGAGACGCGAAGCGACACGACGCTCTCGATCGCGCGACAGTCGTCCCCGTTTTCAAGTTTCTTCTAGTACGTTTCTAGACACACGAATACTTGCTACTGTGGTGAGCAGCTCGGGACGCGACCGACACATTGTTCCACCATTCCGCCGTATTTGGAAGTGTAATACGCGTGCTGAGGATGTAAATTGTCATGTGCTGCGCGCGCGAACGGTGTAATGTGACCGGTTCAACTTAACACTTAGCCGCGACAGAAAACCAGCCCGTGCAGTCAGAGACCCGGAAAATATGACCGCTTTATACAATTCCTATAATTTTTGCCCGAAACTCGGGTTCTTCGTTAAAACTTCATTCGGGTATGAAATCACGACTATACCACTGGCCGGTCTGTAAAGCGTCGAATTCGTAGCTGTAGACTCTATTCGGCTTGTACATAATTACTATACTAATTACTGTACGTAATTACTTTCGGTGCGTCAATCGATGTTCGATTACTCGACACTGGCAGGTTGAAATCACAATCGGATTGAAAGCATTGCCAACGGATAGCAACTCTGGGGAACCTCGATAAATTTACATTACTATACTGCTGCACTTATTGAAGTTTGCATTCGTGTGTGGAAATCTGCTTAATTTTACAAAGGATCAATTTTCACTGTACGAAATTAAGGAAAAGCAAATGTGAGTACGTACAGTAAATTCTCCCTAATTGACGCCCAGATTGCGCACGAAATTGAACAATTTGGGAAGAGGAGGTACGATTATTCGAGGCTTGCGGCTCGTTTTTACAGTTACCGTTTGCCAACAACTGTAAAAACGAGCCGCAAGGCTCGAATAATCGTATCTCCCCTTCCCAAATTGTCCATTTTTGTCCGAAATCTGAGCGTCAATTAAGGAGAATTTATTTTTTATTAATTTATTTATTTGATTAATTTCTATTAATTTATTTATGTGATTAATTTTTATTAATTTATTTATTTTATTAATTTCTATTAATTTTATCCTACACTTATTTGACAACGATACTCAAAAACCGCGATTATCGTGACGTCACTACGAGGGTGGTGCAAAACCACTTTTCGACCAATTGTAAAAGTCTTGTTCAATTGTTTTTATAATCTGGTGTGCAGAGAACTATGTCGCTTTCTTGATACAAATGACGCAATGCTGTATTCAATGAGTCCATCTCATTGTAGATTATGCTTTGACTGTGAAATGCTTTGTCGATGTGAAAAATTTCATGTAATTAACTCTGTCTTGCGATCATCGTTCTTTTTGCTGAAAAATTGTATTTACAAAAATACTGTCGAACGTTCCAAAGACAACAATCCGGGAAGCTGAAACACTTGACGGAATGTCCAGTTTGTAGGACGACGATCGCGGTTGCGACAAGTCGAAGATGGATTGCACGTGGCCGTTAGTCCGAGAGGGAAGATAAACATGCGAACGAAAATGTTGGTGTAGCCGTGACGCTGCTGATAGTTCCGGTGTGGTCCGAATTAATGTTCGCGTGCCCGGTATAGAGGGGCTGCTAACGGGTATATACGATCGATGCGTGTAATCTGACAACATTAACATTGCGTGTTCAGTCGTTTGTGACAACCGCGGAGTGTATAATTTTTCTGCAAAGTGTGCGCGCGACGCTCGGATCCTTGTCGCCATTTGTCAATGCCAGAACCGCGGTAATGATAACCGATAGAACCGTTTTTGGATCCGATGAAAGCGTCACATTCTTTATTACCGTACGCGACGCGTTCTGTGTCTCAAACGCCTGTGTCGTTTAATCATCAGGCTTCGAACATCGTCTATTTTAATTGCTCCGCGATTTGGAAATCGGAACCACCGAAAAACCGACGCGGGATCCGAGGCTAATCCAACGTTTCATACAATTGCAAATCGCCAAAACAATACGATACAATTTTTAATACAATTAAATACAATTTAATACAATTGCCATAAAACGGCACCAAGATCTCGAGACCTATTTACAATTAAAAAAAAAAAAGAACAGACGCAATTGAGTCAGTGATATTTTATGGGATAATGGTGTCGTCGCACCTTTGATCTATGAAATTCTCAGAGACCGCGTTCCCTCGAAGAGGAACAATATTTGTTAACGGCGTCGGCTGGCACAAAATGAAACTCGAAAAAGAGCGACGTGCGTCGAGTGCAGTTAGTAGAGGACAATACCGGCGTACTAAGGTTGTCGAGACAGTGGAAGAACGAAGGAACAAAAGCGGATAGCGATTGGTACACGAACGGCCGGTAGAATCGACGATAAAGATCGGATCCGATACCGTTCTAGAACAGAAACGGAAACGACGCAAGGGACTAGGATGAAAAACAAATCGGAAGTACCCAGTGACGGATCTACCTCTGATTTCTGGGATCTCGAACGCGCCTAACGAGAGCAGAACCGTCGGAATTTCAACGCGTCTGCAAAAGGAATGGTACTGGAGTTTGAAATGTTAGGTTGCTGCATATGAAATGTCGGATTTTCGTTACATGCGAACGTGTTTGTCCCCCTGTTTTCGTTATGCTTTTCTTTTTGGCATAACCTCGTTTATAGTCGTACCGCCCATTGCCAGAGTCACATTCCAACGAAGAAGATTTTCTCAAAAGTGTACCGTTTTGTTATGTGTTTCGAATTTCGTAAGGATATGATTTTAACCGATGTTCGTGTAATTTTTTCATATGAGTATAAACTTGGTAACAATGCTGCAAAAGCTGCACGCGATATAAACCAGGCGTTCGGGGAGAATACTGTTAACGATCGAAAAGTGCGGCGTTGATTCGAAAATTTTCGATCTGCTGATTTTTCCCTACAAAATGAACCGCGTGGAGGACTCAAAACGTCTGTGAAAAATGACGCTCTGAAAGCATTGGTGGAAACGAATACGACTGGAGTAATTCGCTACTCATTCCTTCGAACTGAGGAGACAATTACAGCCGAAAAGTATTGCTACTACATTGACGAAGTGCATGAAAAATTGAATTTTATACGCCCTATCGCTTGTTAATCGGCATGGCTCAATACTTCTCCGCGACAACGCTCGGCCGCATACGTCGTACAAAACAATTGCGAAATGAAATGAATTAAAATATGAAATTTTGCAGCACCCAGTTTATTCGCCGGATCTTTCGCCAACCGATTTTCATTTTCTTAAACATTTAGAACAGTTTTCACGGGCTAAACAGTATGAAAATGAAGACAGCCTGAAAAATTCCGTATCAGAGTTTATCGATTCTAAAGATCAGTATTTCTTTAAGACAGACATCTATGCATTAAAAGCTCGCTGGGAAAAGTGTGTCGAAGCAAATGGAGCATATTTTGATTAAACGAACAACTTTCGAAAAAAAGATATGCAGTTTTACATATTTTATAATTTAACCTTGACATTCGGAAAAATTCCGTATCGGAGTCTATTGATCCTAAAGATCAGTATTTCTTTAAGACAGACACATCTATGCATTAAAAGCTCGCTGGGAAAAGTGTATCGAAGCAAATGGAGCATATTTCGATTAAACGAACAACTTTCGAAAAAAAGATATGCAGTTTTACATATTTTATAATTTAACCTTGACAGTCGGAAAAATTCCGTATCGGAATCTATTGATTCTAAAGATCAGTTTTCTTTAAGACAGACATCTATGCATTAAAAGCTCGCTGGGAAAAGTGTGTCGAAGCAAATGGAGCATATTTTGATTAAACGAACAACTTTCGAAAAAAAGATATGCAGTTTTACATATTTTATAATTTAACCTTGAGAACCGGAAAAATTCCGTATCGGAGTCTATTGATTCTAAAGATCAGTATTTCTTTAAGACAGACATCTATGCATTAAAAGCTCGCTGGGAAAAGTGTGTCGAAGCAAATGGAGCATATTTTGATTAAACGAACAACTTTCGAAAAGACGATATGCAGTTTTATATGTTCGCTTAAAAATCCGACATTACATACGCACCAATCTAACATACATATTGCCGGAGCACTTAAATGGAAATCGATCGTTCGAAATTGCAATCCATCGTTCGGGGTGTTCGAAGCGTGTAACTGTAAAGCTCCGTCTAACATCGAAGTCGTGCTGTAGTGGTCAATGGATGGCGCCATCTGGTAATGCGCGGGCGCGCGCGCGCGCACGCGGCCGAAGGAGAAAGAAGTTCTCCAGGGGATCGAGACGCAGGATCTAAAGAGGGACGTGGAATCACGAGGTAAAGACGAACTCGGGACGGTGCCGGAGGAAAGGAGACGGGGCAAGATCATCGTAGCTTCGCTTGCGCTCTCAGGCACAAACTACCCGACCACCAACCAGCACGGATTCGAAACTCTACCTTGCGTTGCGGCTCTTGCCGCTCGTTTCTTAGAACACGTTCTGTTCGCGCCGTAGAACCAGCCCCGCGGCATCCCTGCGCCCTTCCAGAATTATTAGCCGTTCTCTATGGTTCTCTTCGGGATAATTCGCCGTTCTTTTTCTTCGTCGAGAAAAACGCACGAACCCCGTGACGCGACCAGTGCGGGTTCACCTGCAACATTCGGACATTGAACGGAAATTCGTTCGGAGACCGCTTTCACGACTCTGCCTGCAGCCCCATGCTCGATCGGCATCGATCATCACGCTGTCGTGCCGGGACCAACGTGTCGCGCCGGCTGTTCGATCGGGAAATCTCCTCGATAGAAACATTTCGATCGCTGCGCCAGCCGCGGGCTGATCGATTTTTCAACGGATTGTGAAACTTCTTACGTTCTCTCGTTGTTACGCTCTTCCTCGGCGAAGAATCAGAGGTTATCGAGGTAGAAGAAGAGATTATGCGATCGAGTACGGTCTTGCGCACGATGATAGTATAAACAGTTTCGGAGAAAAAGTGGTAGTGAATGTTGTGGATAAGCGTAAGCGGAAACACCGGAAGGAATGACGTACAAAGGCGGCGAAATCCAGAGGACTTAAACAACGCGAAACTAGCCCGAGCAACGCTGCTAACGAATACGCTGCACGTGCTAAGAGTATCGTCGATCGTCGATCCGTGTCCGATTGCTGCGGCCGATGGGATTCACCGCCTGCCTCGTCGAATTCGGTTGAAATTTCACAGGTAAGCTCTGTTCCGTTTTTATCCACTTTTTCGTTAATATCGACGACGACGCTGTGCCCGTCACGGATGCGAAAATTGCGCGGACACCGGAGAATCGTCTTCGGCATTCACAGTTTCACCGATGAAGCGAAGAAACCGATCGGTGATCGGTAATCTGTTACGCTCTCGTTGCATTATGCCGGCGCTTTTGCCAATTAAGGTTTAACAGCTTCCCATCGTTACCAAAATCGCACCGACGATCGTGCCTCGCCAATTAACGGACGTCCATTAATCATCGCACGAAAACGTGCCAGATAACGAGTCACCTCGCGATAACGAAACGAGGAGCCGACCCTTCGAAAAAATGACGGCGTTATCCGTTACGTCGCGCGCTCCCGAAACGTCTCGCGGATTATATTTCCGCGCGTTGGAGACACGTCGTCGGGTCAACTTAAATTCATTCGTTATCGAAACAACGGGTCGGCTGTGCACGGAACAGGATCCGATTACTTATAGCTTTTATAAAATATCATTAATATAAATAATTCTACGGGCTCATCGGGGAAAAGCAAAATTCCATTCTCGCGACAGAAGCGGAAGAGGGCTCTATTCCGACGAACAAGGAATCGACCGTAGCTTGTTTCGTTCGGGCGATTTGCATCTGTTACGTTTGCCGGGTTAATCGAGTCTCGTCGCCGACTAATTAGGCAGCCATCTGTCAGCTAAATCATATACGACGCCGACGAAGACCACCTACCGCTTATTCGGTGCCGCGGCTTACATTTGACAAGTTTCTAATCCCGATTTGCGAATCTCGTCGAGCCTCGTAAAAATTCGGTCGGCCGGTTTTCGGTCGACTGGTTTCCACGCTCTGGATCATTGGAGAAATCGAAAGGGTTGCATCTACCGAAAAGTCGCGCGACAGCTGCCGTTTCACGCGATCGGATCGACGGTGACGACGATCGGGCCTTTTTTTCCGTAATCGAACGCGAAGGACGGCGAAGAAAGGCCGATTCCGAGCGGGGCAGAAAACGGCGACGAGTTGTCCGACGCGGAGGGCGAGCGGAGGGCGAGCGAAGGGCGCGCGGAAATCGAAGAGGAGTGCCGGGAACGCGGCGATACGATCTGCCGGTGGCGAGGAGAGGAGCGGTGCACAGTGGCGACCTTGCAAGGCCACGTTGAAGCCGACTCCGCGGCACACACACCCACTTTACACCCGTCAAATAAAAGCAGAGGGACAGGCTAGAGGCGCGAGAGCGTGCTAGAAACCGTCTGCCGATATCGGCTAGGCCGGCGCGCTCTTTCCCGGCTAGACGGGTTCTGGACCCGCGGAGTCAGCGGTACCGGCCTGCTCATTCAAGCCGGCACAGCCACGCCTCTTCTCGATGCTCCAGTTCCCATCCGTTCCTCCTTTCTTCTCTGTCCGTTCTTTCCCCGTTTCTTCTCCGCGATCGGGCCAACCACCGAGTGGCATCCTGCTTACCAAAAACTTGGATCAAGTCGAACACGGGATCGCTAAACCGTTAATTGACGACGCATCCTGTCCTGCCCTGTCCTGCCCGGGCCGCCGAGAGCACATTTTCGGCGTCTTTTTTTTTCGTTGGCCGGCCACGAATTTCGGCGACCTGGAAGCATGTTCAAACGCGGAAGAGTCCCGAGGCCATTGCCGGCAGGGAGCTCGTCCGGCGCGCGGTTACGAGAACGGATTACGGAGACGTTCGTTCTCTCGCGAGCAATTAATCAATCGGCCAGAGGAGCGCGGCGGAACCGCCGTTCACCTGCAATCAGACGACGGTTCGAATTGCCGGCGCGTCCCGTTCGGCAGAGGGGCCGCAGAGATATTTTAATTATCAGCGCGAGGAACAGATGGCCGTGCTATAAAACGCGTTTGCGAAAAACCCGCGTCACGAAATCTCGTCGGCGCGACAAACGTTCGTGCCCTGGCGACGTTTGTCGCCGCGCCACAGTTATTACGCCCGTTCGCGTGAACCCGAGTCTCGCGATCGCCGTATCTCTTTCGGGCGTTTTTATTTTCATTTATTTTTTCACCGATCTGCATGCGATCGCCCGTCGAGCCGCAGTGGAACACTCGCTGACCTGCGAGGCAGTAATTAATCGCGTCGCGGACGCAACGGTGGCCACGGAATTTCCGCGCCGGCCGCGGTCGCGGCTCCATTCCGCGCCATATGGCCGGCCACCTCGATTTGGAATCGGCCCTTGACTAATTTACTACAAGCCGCCGCGAAATAATACATCCGGATGTAGCAGATCCCGTTGACTCTGCTCGCGAACGCAGCTGGTTGCCGGCTACCGGTGGATTCCCCGCGTTGCTAACGATACAGTCATCCACTCGGTGTCTTTCGGCCGTTTCGAAAGCCGTGCCACCTGTTGGCGACGCGTTTCTCGTGAGATTCGGCTCCGAAACTACGAATTTTTCTCCATGTCTTTTGTACGAAACATCTATTGCCCGGAATTAACGCCTTGCCGCACCATTATTTTCACAGTAACAATGATTGGAATTTTTTTGATTTTAATCATTTCTTAGAAGGAGAATATAATTTATATTTATCGTGTTTCGATTTTTACTTGAACGATTAAATATCGATGATGAGAGGACGGAATTTGATTCCGACTTAAAAGAATGGAATAATATTTATAATTGACAGGCTATTTAATCATTTCTTAGAAGGAGAATATAATTTATATTTATCGTGTTTCGATGTGTATTTACTTGAACGATTGAATATCGATGATGAGAGAACGGAATTTGATTCCGACTTAAAAGAATGGAATAACATTTATAGTTGACAGGCTATTTAATCATTTCTTAGAAGGAGAATATAATTTATATTTATCGTGTTTCGATGTGTATTTACTTGAACGATTGAATATCGATGATGAGAGAACGGAATTTGATTCCGACTTAAAAGAATGGAATAACATTTATAGTTGACAGGCTATTTAATCATTTCTTAGAAGGAGAATATAATTTATATTTATCGTGTTTCGATTTGTTTACTTGAACGATTAAATATCGATGATGAGAGAACGAAATTCGATTCCGACTTAAAACAATGGAATAACATTTATAATTGAGAGGTTATTTAATCATTTCTTAGAAGGAGAATATAATTTATATTTATCGTGTTTCGATGTGTGTTTACTTGAACAATTAAATATCGATGATGAGATTACGAAATTCGATTCCGACTTAAAACAATGGAATAACATTTATAATTGAGAGGTTATTTAATCATTTCTTAGAAGGAGAATATAATTTATATTTATCGTGTTTCGATGTGTGTTTACTTGAACAATTAAATATCGATGATGAGATTACGAAATTCGATTCCGACTTAAAACAATGGAATAACATTTATAATTGAGAGGTTATTTAATCATTTCTTAGAAGGAGAATATAATTTATATTTATCGTGTTTCGATGTGTGTTTACTTGAACAATTAAATATCGATGATGAGATTACGAAATTCGATTCCGACTTAAAACAATGGAATAACATTTATAATTGAGAGGTTATTTAATCATTTCTTAGAAGGAGAATATAATTTATATTTATCGTGTTTCGATGTGTGTTTACTTGAACAATTAAATATCGATGATGAGATTACGAAATTCGATTCCGACTTAAAACAATGGAATAACATTTATAATTGACAGGCTATTGCTAGAAATCTTCATCACTCTCGTCAATATACGGCGAGGGGTTAACGTGCGGATGTTCTGAAAATCCGACAACAATCTCTGAAACAGATGACGCGTTGACGAATCGAACTTTCGCAAAGATCGCGTGGACAGTGTAAAATTCTGTTTCAATCGATATACGTTAATTGTCGCGCGGTAAGCGTGCGTTAAATTGTGGAACAGATTCTGCGAAAAATACAATGAGAGTAAGAATGTATCAGGGGGGCCGGAAAGTAATGTTTTTCTGCATTAAATTCAAATAGATCAATTTTTAACTGGTTTTTATTTTCAATCAATGATGTAATCACCCTCGTTATCAACATTCTTTTGCCATCTACAGTAATGTCTCCCCAACTGACGTTCAGATTGTCCACAAAAATGGACAATTTGGGAAGAGGAGGTACGATTATTCGAGACTTGCGGCTCGTTTTTATAGTTATCGATTGTCAACAACTATAAAATCGAGACGCAACGCTTCGAATAATCGTATCTTCTTTTTCTAAATTGTTCATTTTTGTGCGCAATCTTGGCGCGAGTTAAGGAGAAATTACCGTATCTCGTGAATTCGTTTCGTACGATAATTTATTAACAAACTCGATCGATAAAGCTTCTTCAATCGCAGAGAGGAACTGATTAAAATGCAAGTCTCGCATTGCGGCCCGTTTTTATAGTTATCGATTGTCAACAACTATAAAATCGAGACGCAACGCTTCGAATAATCGTATCTTCTTTTTCTAAATTGTTCATTTTTGTGCGCAATCTTGGCGCGAGTTAAGGAGAAATTACCGTATCTCGTGAATTCGTTTCGTACGATAATTTATTAATAAACTCGATCGATAAAGCTTCTTCAATCGCAGAGAGGAACTGATTAAAATGCAAGTCTCGCATTGCGGCCCGTTTTTATAGTTATCGATTGTCAACAACTATAAAATCGAGACGCAACGCTTCGAATAATCGTATCTCCTCTTCCAAAATTGTCCATTTTTGTGTACAATCTGAGCGTCAATTAGGGAGAATTTACTATACCGAGCAAATCGTCGTCGAATCGATAAAAATCACTTGGTTTTTTGGGAAAATATCTGGAGACGGCATTTTGGACGTCATCCAAGTTTTCAAATTTTTTGCCACTTAGAAAATATTGCAGCGATCGGAATACATAAATGGAAATCAGATGGCACAATGTCCAGCGAGTATAGTGGACGAGGCAATACCTTCTACCCTAATTCATTAATTTTATCCATGGTTCGTCTTGCGCAGTGCGGTCTTGCATTATCGTGTTGCAGAACAACGTCTTTTCTATTGACAATTGCTGGAGATT